TTAACCCTTACCCATTTTCTCCTGTCATGGAGAAAGTTGCTTATCCAATCGACGACTGTATGATGGATCCTATAACGTTCTAGTTTGAATTTAGGACAAGAGTCGGAAACCTCATCGAAGGCCTTACTTAGATCTATGAAAATCACATCCAAAGGAACATTTCGATCTTTTGCAGCAGCCCAATCTTCACTTGCAATGAGAAGATTTGTCAAGCAAGATAGGCTTTCCGAAAACCATGTTGTGCCCTGGAGAAAAGATTTTGCCCTTCAACATAGTTTATAACAGCTATCCGAATGATTTTCTCCATCAGTTTCACAACTGCACTAGTTAAGCTAACGGGTCTATAGTTACTAACTAAATCCCTACTCCCAGCCTTATACACCGGACTTATTATAGCATCTTTCCAGTCTGTAGGAAGTCTGGACTGTCTCAGAGATATGTCGAATAGTATCGCTAATGGTTCAGCAATTTCATCTGATATGGCTTTCATAATCGTAGGATGAATATCATCAGGACCACTGGACTTATCAGGTTTGAGTTGCTGAAGTAGCCTTAAAACAGTATCTTTCTCAATGACTACCGGATCCATCAGCGAGCCGTCACGGTCGTGATGAATCGTCGGTCGTTCTTCATTACCGATAGAAAATACTTTACTAAAATATTCCGATAAAGCTTCAACCTTTTCGGCATCATTTTCTGCCAAGATTAACATATTTTCTTGTATCAAAAGTGATGGAATTCCATCGCTTCTCTTAGTTCGCCTTTTTATATACGAAAATAACCGTCTCGGGTTATATCTAGAATTCCTAACCAATTGTTTTTTGTATGATAGTCTAGTCTTGCTTATTAACGCCTTACAGACATTCCTAATCTTACAATAACTGGATCTGTATTGTTCTAAGTCAGTAGAGATGAACATATTCCAGTGATTCTTCCTTTTTCTAGAGAGTTTCCTGACCGTTTTAGTTATACATGGTGGACTGTTATTCGGTCTTCGCGTTACCAGGTATTGTATGAACGGGGACGTAACTAGTCTAAATTTACCTTTAAATACAGATTATGCTTCTTCAACTGATATGCTAGTATCTACTAAACAATCTGTCTTAGCATCACATTCCTGAATGGCTGGTATGTTAGCTTTCCATACATTTGGGCGAGGTGTAACCTGATCGTATAACATGTCCCTAGTTCTAAACGCGAATGACAAAACAGCGTGATCGCTGTTCACTAAGAGTGGGAGAATACTTAAGTCGACAATATCCTCAGTCTCATGAGTGATTACCAATTCCAGCAGAGAAGAACCCTGGTTAACACCAAAACGTGTGGGTTGAGATACATGCTGCACTAGTGCATGCTCCATTATTGCTATCTGGAACCTACTATCAAAGGGGTTTATAGATCCTTCTATGGTCATATCAGTCCAACTAATATCAGGTGCGTTAAAGTCTCCTATTATCAAGCATCTGGTATTTTCACTCCAAAGATGAATATGATGTAAAATAAAGTCATCAGCTAGGCAGATTGGGCTGCCATACATGACACCTAGCATAAATGTACTACACCCTATAGCCAACTTACAGCTAATGGCTTCACAAGTACCGCTATCATGGGTTCGCTAGTAGAGGAGCGGATGTTTATGTTATTGGCTATATATAACAAGACGCCGCCTCATTTTCTACATCTATGTCTATCACTCCTGATGTAATGGTACCCGGATAATTCTGGAGTAATGTCTAAGTCTTTCGTGCCTTAAAGTAACCCTCGTGCTATTGATAGAAGAAACCAGACAAGTAGTGAATAGGTCTTTATTTCGATCTTAGCGCGGTCACAGTGGAGCGTGGGATTATCTGTTCAGACAAACAAAGGCTCTCAACATTCAATATAAGATAATAGGGAATATAACGCTTATACAAAACAAGGAAGTAAATGGATACTTGAACAATACTGTTTTGGCATATGCTTGGTTGTTTGGGGTCAACTCTTAACCAACCAACCTAAGCTGTTACAAGTCATGGACTAACCAAGTTTCTGTCACTGCTACTATGAGTGGCTTTAACCTGTCCACTAGTGCTTCTAGTTCATAGAACTTTCGAGCGTTGGAATATATAACTCCTAAGTAAAACAGCCTATCCACACAGGCCTTGGTAGCATACGCTTCCAAGATCTGACTATCCGAAAGCTCACTAGCCGGAGATTTTCCTCGCCGTTTTGCCGATGGGTTTCAAGTTCAGCTACTGCACTCTCCCTTTTTATTCTATCTTCGAGAGACATGTCAGGTCTAACTCGGATGTCAGAATTGTCGTGACAACGAGTGCTACTTAACAAGAGATCCCGTTGCTTCTCCGATCCTAGGATTACCTTAAGAAGTCTGCATGGACGGGGTTCGACATTGTCCTCGGTCCAATTTTTTTACCTGAACTCCTTTGGAGTTATCTGGTAAAATACAACGAATGTATTCTCCTAGCTTTTCTAAGTCATGCGCGTGTCTAATTTTCGGATCAGGGTCGTTTGACTCCCGCAATTTGCTCACAATAATATTCGATGTTATTAGATTTTTCTTCTCAGTCACGCCAGGATGGGTTTCACTCTAAACATCAGATCTTGGTAGTGCAATTTGTGGCTCACAATTTGAGTCCACCAGTGAGTTACTAACAACCTGTGTACTGCTTACAGCTTTTTTCTTTTCGTTTCGTTTCCTACGTACCGTAGTTCAATTTTCATCCCTCATAACACTGGGATTATTTAGAACGGTGACTGTTTTATCCAGATCTTTGATTCCCACTAAAGATGCATTATTAACAATGTCAGTATCAGGTGGTACTACTCCCCTTGTTAATGTCATCGGAGATTTCGCTTTTACGTCGGTCGGAGTCGGTTGTTTGAGGCGTCGCGTAACAGCAGGTACTACACTCACACATTCGTCACTGTCAGTGCCCGTGTTGTCAGCGCATATGCCATCGTTCTTCTTACAGGCCAAAGCCAATAGGCTCATAGCCTTCTGTATTAGTAATGCCTTGTTGGCACAGCAAAACATGCAAAGCCAATGTGAGTTAGGCCTCGAACATCTTTTGTATGCGGTGGGACTTAAACGGGTGCACACTTTGTGGAACCACTTATTGCATTCGTCACACTGCATTCCCTCCTCCACAGGGAACAAACAGTTTGGTTGTTCACATTTGTGAGTACTACCAACCATTTTAGTCAGACCAAGGTGTAACACACAATATGATCACAGTATGAACAGAAATGTCGGTCAACGAATAAAAGTTTACCACAAGACAAACTTAAGCAAGATTTCAAACCTTAACTAAAGTACTTTGATACAGACCAAGAATGCTTTCGAATGTAATAAATACACGAAAGCCGAGAAACTCCATAGAATAGCACTTTAACTGTAGTAGATTCAATTAAAGTGTGAATCACAGTTTTGATACGCAAGTTACGATCAAAACAGTTAACTAACTCAACGAGAAGCAATACCACTGTCCTTTTTAAATAGCGCGCTCACTATTTCAACAGCATGTTAAAGGCTAGATCAAACAGGAGGCCGCTAGGATTTACAGTGGCTAACCAACCTTCTGACATTTCCAAATTGAAAAAGAAGATGAAACTGACCTTTGAGCTCACGGTCTTGTTATTTGAAGGTCAATATGCGCGAAAAGTAGTAACTTGCATTCGAAAATTTTTAGTTGAACGCAATTTCTACAATACTTTTAGCGTACACTATACGATTGTCCTAATTTCACACTCGCATTTATACAAATCTTTGTTGATAATATTCAATATTTAGTGTAAGTTCATCGGCCAGCGAATCGTTGGCTAGGATTCATTTGTTTTTATCACGTCTAGGACTGTGTTATTTTCTTTAGAATGTGAAAAAAAACATTTAGGCTGTACGCAAATCGTGACATGCTTCCATATGAACCGACTGTTCATTTTCAAGTCTATCACAGATATATATGTTATATAACAGTTGGTTTTATTGCACTTATGTTTTGTCTTTAGTTTGTGCATAAATACCTTCGTTATCATATGTCAATATCTTTTTGATTACTTCAGTAAATTCTGGTTCGGATTTTTTGAATATATTGCTGATAAAATATCTGATCTTAATTTCCTCTGAAAACTTGTGCTTTTTTCAACTTACCAATTCATTTCTTGAAGATTCGACTGCAAAATATTATTATGGAGATACTTTCTGTCTTTAATAATTGTTACGACGTAATCTAAGGTTTTCGTTATTTTTATCAGTCTCTCATCTGCAAATTGTTTATTTATTCATATCGTTTTTATGTTAGCCGTGAATATCAATGCGATACATATATACATTAGCAAAACTTGAAAATTGCATTTAACGTAGGTTATGGAACAGAACTCAGCAGATTCATGTATAATGTACTTTTGTGCATGCGGAGAGACCTGCACCTAGAGATAGCAAAACCCCGTAAATTCACTTACATTTATTGTCTTCAGTCTTCAGTAATAAGGACAGGTCTGTCGATCTATATTAATCTTTACAGTTTGTAACGCTGTGGAAGTCCAATGTTGTTTTGAATATATCAACAGAAGGTGCTGATATTTTATTGGAATTATGGATAAAGCTCATACTGATGCTCAAAACAATCATCATTAAACACACAGATCACAGCCATTTTTTACAAATCGTAGAATGACTGTAGATCTGATAGTGTTAGTTCGAACTTTCACACTTATGCATTACATATGTCATTTGACGTTTCTGTTGCATGTGTACTGTTTATACAGGGACATAGTATGTTTCATGTCATAGAGTTGTTTAGGCTCAACCATTTCGAAATGGTTTATAAATAAACAAAAAATAGACCTATTAAGGCAAACTAAATATTCCCCAAAACAAATTTGGATAGCAAATGATAAAAATTGACAGACTATGGATACTATTTTGTGCAGAAGTGACATTATAAAATATGGCATCCAATATATTCCAGGTTATATACAGCTAATACACAGAACTCAGCGATATGTTTGTTGCATGTCCTCATATTGGTCTGCAGTGGGTTGGGCTTTTATTGGCTTTGATCATGAGTTTCACAGTTCTAACAACGTAAGTTGATTCCCGTGTTTATTATTTCAGATGTAAAACATATACATATTTAAGTCTTTTACGTAACATGATTACTGTTGTGCTCTGTTGGAAACAACTTTGTGAACATTCTTCTGTTAGTTGATGGAAGGAATAAATTTCTAGTTAAAGTTCCAGAGTATTTAAAACTAATTGGCTTTTTTGTTCCCATACATGACAAGTTCACCCAGAAAGAGTATATATTTCTAAATTCTCAAGTAACTTACAACTATCGGACGTATTATGTCTTACAAACTAAACGAGAATAGGAAGAGGTAGTTGGACAATCGATTGAGACCGTAATAGTTTGTAAAAATTAACTGAAATGTAGATAATTCTGTTGCTTATTTGTTAACTTCTAATGCATGCATGATGAAGTCCAGTTTTATTTGAATTGTAAACGCAGAACAAAAGTTTATCTCTTAAACAAATGCAAAAGTAATTAAGTCCAAAATATAATTTTTGGCTGCTGACTTTTTTAGACCCAGAGTTTTGAATGTTCTTCATGGCTTTGAAATATCTGTTAACGTAGTATATTTTGCAAATCATACAATTGTTACTGAGTCTCCACGTTGTCAGCAACATAATCAATCTTGCTGCTCTTAGTATTTCCTAGCTCTAAAATTCATGTCATATTCAAATAGAGACTATCCGGTTTCTTTCTAGGCTTGGTTTCCAATCAATTTTCACGATTAAATTCCGTTTTTTTCTAATTAAAAGTTTGTAACAATGAATAAAAGTAAACTTCAAAAACCTTCCAACCTCAACTTCTCTGATAAACATAACCCCTATGTAACGTTATTGAGATTACCATGTATTTGCAATATGTGTGGAATATCGCAAATATTTAACTTGAAGATGGTAGTAAGAAAAATATTCCCTGAAACTGAAAAATACCCCTTTGGCATTCTAAGAGCGGTCATAAATTGTGTGAATAAATATTTTAGGTAGATGAAGATCTACTAAAGTGTGATTTTTTTGGATTACTCCGTGAAGTAGTTCACACATTCAGTCGTGGATTCATCATACAGTTGAATATATATACTATCTATTGCTTCTTACCTTAATAAGATAAAAATATGAGTTATCGATCCAAGTCTACACAGTTTTTGAGTCATTTCAGATGGATGTATTTGAACATCCCTATTTGTTAAACGGGTTTTTGGATGAGTACTAATAGAGCAATATGATATAAGTGTTAAATACAGTCCCGTAAGTTCACTGCTTGTTATTTAATAGCATAACTTGAAAATGTAATCTCTTGACTAAATCAATCTTTCGTAAAAAATTAGCATTTTATAAGTTATTTGCTTTTAGAACTAAACCTGATGATTTTATTATATAATAAAATTTTTTTGTTTACTTCAATACAGATATCTTATTTCCATCCATAGAGGACATGTAAATGCAGAATTGCCATTTATCAGGCAAGTAAATACATATTGATTGTAATAATGCATTACTGCATTATATTTAATCTAGATTGTGTTAAATTAATAACCGTCTGAAACTCTTTAGTTAGCCCACTAACAATGTACAGTACTATGAGAGGTTTATAACTTTCGAAAAATAGAAGACGTAAGCAGATTGCAGATATGCAAGGACGGAAATTTGTGTTTTCATATAAAATTCGGTCGTAGGCAAATAAGAGATGGTTTAAACAAATCATTTGTAATGTTTGACGAGCTAACAACAATAGTGATGTTTTTGACAGGGCTTTGAACTTTAATGAAGTTGTTAATAACTGATACACCTTTAAGGAATGTTTATTAAGTCTAAAATGATACCAAATTTAAAATCTGACTGACATTTTTCCTTCAATCAAGAAAATAATTTGGTTAATGAGTTGAAGTTTTTGACTAGTTAGTAGCTTCAAAGTAGACTGCTTCCAATTTTTTCATGATCAAAATAATTTACTAACCTCAGTAACTTATTGGGCACTGAAGTCTGGAGTATCATACACTATTATTGTGAGTTGCGTGGAAGCATTAAGGACATCCGGACGAAATACTTGAGAAGTCAGCAGTAAGTGATTTGAAACCCTAGCTCACGAAGTAAGATTTCATTCAAAATAACCTAAATACATTCATGATACAGGTTGATTAGACAGTCTTAAACTAATGAGTCACATAAAATGTAAAATTAGACTTTTTGAATTGAAGTCATTTTTCTTATCAGGAAATGCAATCGCGTTTGTGAGTAAACAAAAAGCTCACTGTGAGACGGAAAAATGAATGTTTTTCAGCAAAGAGATTTTTTGCGGAAATTTAATTTTCAGAGTTGTACAACCATTTGTATATAATGTTTTACAACTATGAAGTATGAAAAAGACGACAGATCGAACACAGAAAAACATATAATAGACTTGGAATAATGTGTTAATTATATCATAGGTTGAAACGAGCTGGAGTATTTAATAGACATAAGGCAAATAAAGATGATTACAAAACTAATTGCGTTTCACAGTAAGATAGGCCTGGGACCTGAATTGTAGTCAATAAAAAGAAGTATAAATAAAAAGCAAGAGTCCCACTGCGTGATAAAGGGGGATGAAGATGTGTAAAGAAGAACTACTGGTTGGTTCAATCTCAAAAGAAGTCAAACGAATTTCTTCTTTATTCCTAGTTCGGGCTTTTTATTTGTTTATCGAGAGCTCCTGGACCACAATAAGGCGATAACTATTAAGTTTTACAGGCCTTTATTACTTTGTTAAATGCTGCTAAAATGAGTCCTGTTTTGATTTTAGAGCTAATATCTACTTCATGTTCTACTATAAAACTTTCAATTCAATTTATGTAGTCCATAATTACCCACCCAAAATAATATTCTTGAACGCTTTTAGGAAAAATAAACATCAAAATATCAGGATACATTGATTCATAAGAACAAGTAACTTAGCAAATAAACTCAAAAGCGGTCAGATACGAGAGGTTTCCGAAAATATAAGTCGACCATAGGACATGGTTCTCATAGTCTCTGTAAAATATTTTCCTTCAAGGACATTCGAAATCCTATTCTCTAAATTATTAGCATCTGTTTTGTCTTTGACGTGGGCATTTAAGTAGATCATCTTTTTTTAATCGAAGGTAGCCGATTATCTTGAAGGTTTGGACTTTATCTTTCTACTGATAAAGCTTGATGTAAGCCTATCTTCGACCTTTGTTTTCTAAGAAAATGTGTTATTTCTTCCTTAACAAAGGGACATATCATCGTATGCGTATATTACCAATTGTAAAAATATCGATCTATTGGATAATACTGCGGTCATCATTATTCTCTAACCCAATGAATAACACTGATATTTTTACCAATGGACCCTACGTCTACCCCTTGGTATGAACATTAGATCTGTTTGACGTCTGAATCTCATCAGAAAGTTTATCTTATATATGTGATGCTACTTTATTTCATATACTTTTTCAGCTAAACGGCTTTATTTTTTATTTTAAATAAGAATATGATATTGGCTTAGCTTATGTGTAAACGAATTTAAGCATTAGTACTTCCTTATGCCTCAATCGATAGTCTGATAGAAATCTATGGTTCTTCTTGTCTATGTTACCATAAAACCCATTTTAAATATATTTTATACGCTTTTCCAGCTCTACAGGTGCTTATCCACCAGAAAGTTGTATATTTGGTGAGGGATTAAACTTAGCTGCTTTTATCAGTAAGTCTGAGTTTCATAATTCTATCAAAGAAAGTATATTCAGCAAAAGAAATTATCACGATTTTAATTATAGTTCAAGTAGATTTAAACAAGTTGAAAAAAAGTATTAAAAATAATGATTTATTTGGAAATGAAATCCAAACTAATGGTCAATTACTCTGTACTTTTTCTACTGTGCGACGGAAATTCTCAAGACACTTTTGTTTGAAACCTTTTCTGACTGTTAATATTGTATACTTTCACTCTGATTATTGTACGGTAAATAAGCCAGAAGACAAGTCATCTTTCACCATTTGTACTGTCCTTCATAAAAGTGGGAAAATTAACTTTGAAGTCTTGACCTAATCTATCGACATGCATAGATAAATTATTTCTAGACTAGCTATTTGGTATTTGAATACCACATTGGAGGAATTTACTCAAGAATTAAAAAAGCTGTTAAATACAGCTTAGCGTTTGCGTACAATTTCAGTGCATTTGGCTATGAATCCTATTTATATATACTGTTAATAGCCATCTATAATCATCTAAAAAGATGGAATCATCATTTAGTCTAAGTGATAACGTGATTAAAAGTAAACTATAAGATTATTAGACTTGGATTTATCGATTTTGTGAATCTATCCAGTTTGTTTAATATTTTTAGTATTTTATATTTCCATATTTGTTTCAAGTAAAATCTCAACACCATTATTTATTGATTGGTGCTGTTATATGGGTTGAAGACAGCTTGTATCCAAGTAAGGTTTGATAAATTTTATTCTTTAATACCATCAATCCAAGAAAACTAACTAAAGGCTTTTTTAAAAATTGTTGTATTCCAGAATAATGGTTTCGCACATACTCATTGATTAATTATTTGCTCAAAGTAGTTTACATACATATTAAACAATGATAGAGTCCACATTATAAAGTGAATAACTTCCGTCTGTTCGAATAGATTTAATGGCTAGTTTTTAAAATATACTGTCAACCAATCTGATTTTTAATGTTTCAGCTAAATGAATGCATTTTAATGAAACTGGAGTAATATGATCGTGCGACTTTTCAGCTAGAAAGAAGCTCGTTCAACTTAAACCGCAAATTATTTACATGCTCAAAATAAGAAAGCCAACTGATAGTTCTACGCATTATTGTTGCTACAAATAACAATTTTATTAGAATACCCTCTCTTGATGAATAAAGTCACCCACGGTTGTTTAACGGTTGTTTAACTTTTAGTTTTTTATAATGCGATAATTTATCAAATTCTGGGTTTTTAAAATAACGGATTAAATTACAGACTTTAAAGTTGATATACATTCTAAATTGTGTAGAAATTACCTAAGGTGAGACTATAATTTATGGCCGACCTTTGAGCGAAGTTAAAATGGCCTTGAAAATGTCCACTCACTTGCTAGGGCCAAATGAGAGTTATAAACCTGTGTGAAGAATGATGACTATGATTTACAGTTGATGGTGAGGGTTAGCAATTAGATTTAAAGTTTTCACTGACTGACATCAGCTAAATTCCCAAAACGTCCTTTAACCAAACGGATGAAGAAATTTCGTGCCCAAACCCAAGATCTGTTATCCTAAACCCACACATAGATATTTATATAAAGCGGAAAGAACAAGATTTGCAAAATAACATAGATTCACCAGATTTCAAGGCTTATCATCAGCTACAAACGTTCTAATTTACATCGGTAATATTGTTGCAAAAATCTTTATACACTGTAATCAATGAAGTTTAGTTCAACACGACATACGAAATAAGAAAAGGAAGCAGTATATTAGATCAAGGAGTTAAGGCTGATTGGTATCTATATTTAGATTGATATCATGAATGGATCGATATTAGATCACCAATTAAAACCTGGTAGCACTAGACGGTCGTTTCGTCCTATTTTGGAACTCCTCAACAGTGCTCATCTACAATCCTGCACGCTGTACTCGAATCCAGGACCTTCGGTCTCGCGCGCAAACGCTCAACTTCTAGACCACTGAGTAGGCATCCAACGGTCTTAATGCGCACTTCTGAGGAATCCAATACTAGGACGAAACGGCTGTCCAGTGCTCTCAGGTTTTTAATAATGATCTAACATCAATCCATTCGTGATATCAACCTAAACTCAACAATCTCCACATCTCTATACTGATAGTATTTATATGTTGAAGATGAAGTCATGTGAAGATCAGGTTGAAGTTATGAATCATAATAGTAGACAATGACTAGAAACAAATAATTGAACAAAATAACGTGAATTCATTTTATCTTGTATGGCTTTCATCACCTACTTATAATTTATGATATTAAAAAAAATCAAAATCACTGTCAAGTTTGCATGCTTATAACAGTAAAAATAGATATGTATCATCATAGTGTAGTAATAAGAGTGAAGATATATAAAGTGTTGCAAAGAAGTATGATATGTGAGATGGGATTCTGGATTATCAGACATATTAGTAAGAAATTATAGCGATAAAATAATTACTTGATTATATAATGAAGTAGTTGAACATAAATCAAAAGCATTTTAAGATATCATATGTTGGGATCAGTTAGCTAAAAATAAAATTATGAATTTAATGGTAGTGATGCAACTAAAATAAGAGAGAAAAAACAGGTGCAAGAGTGATGCAATGAACTGATAATAAAATCGTCATGGTAAGGGAAGATTTGCAACTACTTCCTTTTGGATACATAAATCTGGCTTGAGTCGTTTGATGGCTATCGCTCCGAGGAGTTTAACGAAAGTGGAATTTGGCTGTCGATTGATAATGCTGAAAGATTTCAGTCTGTCAACTTGATACCTTGTGTCACAGAAATATTTGGCAATAGTAATGTTAAAAGCCTTAAGTTCAGTTGGCACTTTTTGGGATGTGTTCTTGGAATCGAACATGGGCCCTTTTTGCTGTTCTACAAATGTGAATGTTTCAGCAAGTGCATGTAAATTCGCATACGCAGTGGGCAGTAACATGAAAGGTGTAACTGTCGATCTTCGATTGGAGTAAAGAACATATTGTTTCATACAGGATAAGTTCTAGTCAATGTCGTTTTTAATCTACTGCTTATCTTCATTAAAACGTCACTTTTGGACTCAAGTTGAATGTATATAGGTTTCTTTTCTTCTGCAGTTTCTTGGAGTGTTTTGTCTTTACTTTTCCTATATTGTTCAATAAATTCCTTTGGATGCCCACTGCCTCTTAGGATTTCTTCAACGTTCAATAATTTTGCTTTCAGTGTATTGAAAGTACATGTCCGTTCCTTTCTGTGGAAGTGTTTTGATAAGTGCCGTTTTGTAACTTATCGAACAAAAGCTATTAAACTTCATATAAATATCATCCCACGTATCTTTTCGATAAGCTGAATGTTGAACTATACCATCGTATCTCTGTTGTACTGTAATGTTGAAAAAGTGGAACTCATTATCCTTTTCGTATTCCATGGTAAACTGAATATTTGTAACAGCGTCGCGAAAGACGTCAACCAGGTGTTTTGTCTGCTGTTGATCGTTACATACAATAAAAGTATCGTCAACGTACCCTGCGTAACATATCATTTCATTAATCACTCCTTTAAGCTTGGTCTTTTCAAAGTTAGCCGTGAGTAACTCTGCTAGGACAGAACTAGGTGGACTTCCCATTTCTACACTATTTTGATGGCGTATAGTGTCATCAAATTGAAACTGTACATCTTTCGTGTACATAATTAGCAGTCGTTCGAGTTCTGGCACTGGTAGAGATAGGAGGTTAGATTGCTCAAAAATTATGTCTATGGTTATCTGAAGTGTTATTTTGGTAAGAAGAGATGTCATTTCAAAACAAACCATCGACTTACCAGCAATATTTATGTAGTTGAGACTGTCAGCAAATCGAAAAGAGGTTAAGCGGTGACGATCGGATTCTAAGTTTTCCTCTAGCCGGTGTACAACTTTGTGATGAGGTGAATTTACCGTTGACAAAACAAGCTTAAGCGAGATGCCCTATTTATGAATCTTCGGCAAGCTATACATATGCGGTGAAGGCTATTAATATTTTTCCTCTACAATAACTCCCTGAGTACGCTCGTGATTTGTCTTTCTGTTGAGCCAGTTAAGTATCTGTTGCATTTATCTGATCAATATTTTGTTCTTTCTGTCTTCAAGATAGTAAAAGGAACTAAGTGCATGAGACTAGAAAATATTGTAAATAAATGAGTGGTAGTCAAAGCACCTATCTGACACAAAATTCAAGTTGATGCCACAGGTGTGTGTGATTGTAATTTGTTTTATTTTAAGTTATTAAGTACACAAAAGTAAGAATGTAATTGGCAAACGATCATGACGACGAAAAGGTTACCGCACACTCGCTCTGTGTACAGAGGTCAAGTTGAAAGCGCTTGAATTTATAGCCTCTGAAAAGCGGAATAGAAGTGATGTTTACTATTTGTTAATTATTACAGATTTTTGTTGCATCCGTATTGTGAGCGCTATCGATCAAATGTCTGGTGATCGCACTTATGAATACCTTAATTCCTTTCAAACACAGCGTTGAGCGAATACGTTTGGGAAACCTTGTAAATCCCCTATTTCAGCCCTTCTATGTTTTTACTTCCACAAATACATGTGGATTCGTAAACACATTTAGAGATTACCTTAGAGGGGTATTAATCCACTTTTGATTCGTTTAAGAAACGTTTAGTGTTTAATGCTAAAGTAGTTAGGCTACAGGAAACATTCTTTTCAGAACTGCTTTAAGCCTTTCGTCTATCCTTCATGAAATCTCCTCACCTTTCAATCCTAGGCGAGTGAAAACCGGCTTTATGTTAATATTAGTATAGGATTGTGGAGATTGTTGAGTTTTTAATTGAGATCATGAACTGATCAATGTTAGGCCACCACTGAAAACCAGGAAGCACTCGACGGCCGTTTCGTCCTATTATTCATTGATAGAAAATTTAATTTTATTCATTTGTTATACAGTAAACTAGTGTTTAGATGGTGGTTGGAGGTAGTTAACAGGAAACCCTGGACCCGGGTTTCGTGCTACTTGGCACTCGTCAGCAAGGTGTACCTGTAATCTTGAGGGAACTGGTGCTCCCTGGCGGATTCGATCTCGTGTCACCCAGCTTCACAGTCAGAGACGTTATCCGGGTCCAGGGTTTCCTGTTGACTACCTCCAACCACCATCTAAATCTCAATACATAGTGCCCGCAGTGTCGAGTCACCTAGACTGGTGGCCACATTGCAACATGATCGATAGCATTCGATCTGCACTAATAAGGACTAGACAAGCATGACATTGATCACCACCCAGTGATCAATCAATTGTAATAAACTAGTGTTGTTTCTATTTCAGTACAACGAAATTTATAAACGTTTCATGCTAACGTTATTATTGTTGTTTTGAATCATAAACTAATTAGTTGATTTGATTGATGTGAACTGTTAGAACGCTATGTTTAATTGGAAACCTCGGTTTATAAGTAGTAATGTAGTATATGCATTTTTATGCATGATTCTTGCATGTGTATGTTCGCATAGTAAATATGTGCACCACAGATTTTTTAGAATAATTTTTTTCTACCTTTTGGTTTAACGAATTAGTAATTCTTCTGCTTATTTACAAACCTTTTCTTATGGTAAAAATCCAATGACAATATCGATCCTCACTTAATGTATAAATACTTGCTAAAACATTAATTTTCATCACATGATGAATGACGTGTTCTATAAAGTAAAATTATGAGACCAACTCACAAGTTACAATGACAACACGTAAAACAAAACTTTGGAACTTAGCTGAATTACATTAAAGTCAATTTTCTCTTATTTTGGTTGAAATCGTTCTGTCTTACCTTATAAATAAACATTCACATATTAAATATCATTTGCAAATCTTAAAAAGATACAAAATATTCGGTATTCTTATGAAACCACTTAAAAACAAGTTCTTTTTAGCTTGATATAGTTAGTGAAATTTTTATCCGTTGTGGTTTCTTCACTACTATAGGTTTGATATGCTCCTTTTTGTGGTATTTAATCGCATTGGAGAGAACAAAATTTATGGGCATACATCAACCAAAATGTGTTCTTAACTTTATGCTTTTATTGTCTCTAGTTGCTTCAATTGGTTTAACATTGGTTGGGAATTTCCAAGTAAGTTTACATAAATGAATCTATTTGAAATGCATGTATCTGTAATAAATGTAAAAAGCTGCCCATACATATAATCGGATTATAATTTCGATGAATGGGTACAGTTTGTTTATCAAATTTTTTTGAACAAACGTTCAAGTACAGGAAAAATTTCTGAATCCATATCTCGTTGTGAAATTCTTTAGCTTATTAACTCGTAGTCTGAAGTGAAAAGTAGTATTTAACTTTCAGATAATCAGTGGTATAATTTCTATCAAATCCATCTTGAAGTATATACACATTTCCATATTTGACTTTTTGTACTCATGAAACAGGTTATGTTGTTCTGTCAACAAAAACAGTCTACATCCATCGGTTTTTATCATTATACTAAATTCTGTTAAGCCTTCGGACAACTGAAATATCAAATTTGTTAACCTAAAAGTCTTTTTGTAACTTTCTTTATCGTTTGTATAGCATAATTTGAAAGAAAACACCTATAATCATTATCTGAAGTGACTAATTTATAACTGTACAACCATGGAAAATAAAATGAACATCAACAACTTCTAAAGAAAAACCGCAAATCACTGGGCGTGTAAAATCGAACAACGAAACGCAAATCGTATATCATTATTGAAGATATTAATCAGTGTTTTTTTACAATTTGCATCTCCAGATGTCCTTAGGTAGATAACTACCGAAAACGACGTCAGTCAGCACCAGGGTGCATCCAACTCTCGACTGGGAATCAAACCCAGGACCTGCAGTTTTTTAGAGGTTTAGTGAACAAAGCCCCGTGAAACAAATAACTTTTTTCTTTTGTTTGTAACGATAATGTTCTTACATTTTCATATGCTAATGATAAGATAAATTACGCATTCAAGATTATTATTTTAATAATCTGTTAAATGCACTTCATTTAATGATGATCAGAGTTGTGGTGGTCATTATCTGATCTGTGATATTTTTATAATGGCTTATGCTCTGCTAGTTATCAGGTGACAAAGTCGACAATCTGAATATCGACTTATATAACCTTGTTCTTGTGTTAAAATTATTGTGGTGAATAAGTACACCATTGGGGACAATCGAATGTATTTGAACACAAAATTGCAGAACGTCTTAGTAAAATCTGAGAACCATACAGTAAATGCTTCTTTTACAAATTGTTTATTAATTGTCTCAGACTTCATTGTTCCTGTATTTCCAAATCAATTGTTTTCTGTTCCTGTCTTTTCCTCCTCGACCTTCTACTGCCAGATATTCTATTCCTGACTAGCGTTATACACTACTTATGTCGACATCGGTAGCTTACACCACACAATAACACGTTAAGCAGCATTAGAAGCCTTGCGTCAACTCTTAATCTTTATTGGTGTTTCTTGCCTAGCCCTGCCCATTGAGCTGAGAATTTAGTCTCAGTTTCCACTGTATGAATCGCGTATTTCAGACGTACGTGGTTTATGTACTAGTAGACCAGACCGCACCACACCATGAAATAAAAAATAAAAATTATGCCAAATCAGCCCCAAAGTGACTGTGAGTGTAAGAGACTGTAACTAATAAATTGGGAATAAGTTAAGAATGGTAAATCGTATAACAGTATCCAATAGGTCAAATGAAAGCTCATGATAAAAGGATATATATAATTCAGTTACTTAATAATTACCCAATAAAAATATGTGTAATAATAGCCTTGGTCGGGATTTGTGCATCCTGTGTGGATTGTCTCTGTATATCATTATGACACAGATGTATGTAGAATAAGTACTCTTTAGGTAGAAGTAGAATCAAGAACACGCGGAATCATCGACATCGTTAAAAATTCGGTTCAAATTCATTTTCCTTGTGCAAGTGAGTGGCTTTTGGGACTTAGCAGGTTATTGGATAACACGTTGGCGTTAGAAGCAAACAAATTTCATGTCATAAATATTCACCTTACATTCTTATTATATGTTCATATTTATTCATATTATTTTGATTTTTTTATATTTTTAGCAAGTTAACGTTGAATTAATACATGATATTGGTGCTGGGATGGCTTTTTTCGGAACCACTATTTATATCATTTTGTGTGCCTTAGTTAGCAAGCGATACCTTGGAACACATTGGTGTATATGGGCTTTTAGACTTCTCTTAGGAATTATGGCAGGAATAACATCAAGTTTTTGTAAGTCACAAAAAACAGAGAATACTTGTAAAATTTTTTTGTATAGAAAGTAAAACTATCAATTCTAGAAATAAAAGTAGTTTTTAAGTCTCTCTGGTTATATTACCGAAATATATTCATTTGGATACAAGACGCTCTTTTTCCGTGACTACAAACATATTCGTACATGGTTACTTACGATCAATGACCTTTGACTAGACATCTCTTTACAATACTTGTCGCCTTCATTTTTACATCTAGTGGTTACCAATTTTATTATTCAGTTGTCTTATTAATGTCTGCTCCACTGAATGCGACCCTACTGTTGTACCGGAGAATAAATCACTGCCTAATTGATCGATATATTTGACGCAATGTTGAAAGTCGATGACTGTTTACTATTGTGATGATACGCGTCCTGCAGTGATTTAGAGTCCTATAAAATAATGTTTCTCTCCAGAACGTATTTTGTTAGATAAACACTTATATTTGTATAAAAAGGTGAAACGAAATATGTATGTGATAATGATACTGTAGGAATAATATGACTATAAGTAATTTGATAGTTGACAACTTTGATCCTAGAATCTCAGACATAGCTTCGAAAGACATCATGGCTGAATAATAATGCTTTGCTCGAAACTATCGAAAGTGGTATAGCGTGAATTCGGATTATAGGTAAACAGACGTTCACAAGGTAGTTAAAGTTCGTGAAAGGAAAGCTGAGTGTACTAAAAAGTCATTTAGTTTACTTAATCACAGTACTAGTGAACTTTTGATGGTATTAAGTCGGTTATAATTTTGAATTTTAGAAAATTAAGTTTTCTTATGAAATGAGAGATGCCTTAGACAGAAATACCCTGGAAATCTATTGCATCCTACTTTTAATCTCCTTAAAATTCCTCATCAACGACCGTACAAAGATTTTAACCTAGAAGCTTCAAATCTCACGGCAAGTACGGTATTATTGAGCAATGGAGTCGTAATTTAATTGCCTTTATTTTTATTTCAGTCAATAAGTTAAATAGCACGATTTTCCTTCGTCACCCACCAGTAAATTATTTCATTTACTTTGTTGCGCTGATAAATTACTCGACTACTTTGAAATTTTTGGTTTTAGTTTCGATATGTCATACAGTTTCCAGGATAAATTTCAACGGTACACAAGAAGAATCTTTGACTTATCGGCATCCTGGTCAAGGTGTAAGTGTATTTCTTCAGTTTTGTGATGCGATACAATACTCTATATTCATATGTTTAAATTTCTTGGAGATATTTGCAAAGTATAATGATCAAAAGTTAAAGAGAACCATAAGTGTTTGTTTCCTTGACTAATGGTAGACTTCCTTCTTCGCGGTGAAACTTATTGATCTGTTTGTGATATCCTTCTACACCTTAACGGTTGTAGATTTTAACATTAAATTCTATATAACAATGATTGTTCAATGCCTCTTCGTGGTGAATGAATCTCTCATTAACTTCAGTTCAGAATGAAAATCATCCTTTAAATGTATGTCACTACCTGCAAAGGTAATTCGTTTGACAACTGTTCAGTAAATATTTAAGCTTTGTTCATCCATATCACTATTCAGCAATGTGTTTATTATTAATAATACGTGTTAATGGGAGGAATTTGAAATTGTTTGTTTCCGACTTATCGATCATTTTGGTTCAGTTCTTATCACACTTTAAACTTAATCCAAGTGAAGCAAGATCTATTATATTAACATACACATCCTATTTCTGGTTGAATTTTCAAAGTTTCTGCAAGAAATCATGGCACTGTCATGAGATGAATAAAGTCACCTTAAGACCCATTAGCTTGTCTATATTAGGTTGTGATAAATAAAATGTAATATTAATTTATGATTGTATGTTTAATTACCTAGCTCTAATAATGCTTAAATTTCTAAGTTTTACTTAAATATTTATATAGTATCTCGATGTTTGTAAAACATGTCGTTTCTTATCGAAACGTCGTGACTAATTTCTGTTATTTACTTTAAGGAACTTAGTTACGGTTTGTTTGTTTGATAATTCATGTATGGTTTACTTCATATGAACAAAATATCTTAGAATCTGGTGGTTGCTTTTTTATCTAAATATTTAATCTGGAATATGACAAGGTTCAAATAACCAGATAATTATATGGAAATGTAGAACTCAAATATTACATGAGAATGACTTTTGATGCCTAAATGGTTTTACTTTCAGGGATTTTCATTTTATCTATGCAGTACAAGTTTTGAGTGGGCTGCAGGATTTATCATCATAGTGTTTTTTATCACATGGGCTTACGAATTCAGATCATATGCTTTACAATTACCACAGGTAAATGTTGATGTTATTAAAATCCTATTCTTTATCACTGTTCTCTTAACATAGTGCCAAAAAATGCATGTAAAACGAACTCTGACTTATGGTTGTTATTTTCAACACCTAAGTCTAACAAATAGTCTTTAGGTTTCTAGAATATAGTCGACCATGCCAATGAGATTAGGTTCATTTTACTGTTGTGTATGTGAGTAATCCACATGAACATTTATTCCCTCAACAATTTTAAAAACCGTAAACTTTTGTTTTATTTTAGTTGTATTGCCGTAAAACGATATCACTAAAAACTAAGTTCGTCAGAACGAATGGTTTCTGAGTTATGAATAAGTTATCCTATTGTAGCGGTAAATAAATCCCCAAAATAAATAGCACTAAGTTTTCGACATTGGATGCTGACCATATGTTTTAGTGGACTCACCTAGCTGAAGGCGCTCGGTCAGTCATCCGCACCAGATCACGTGTGGTAACGCCGTGCTCAACATCAACCGCAATCGCTAGCCAGATTAGATCAGAGAATTCCGATATATTGGTCATCGCCAAATATACTCTTCCGATCTCCTCGACTCTGTCTTTTGATTTCTCTGGGCGGGAACGAAATATATTAGAAGGTGTTACTGGTAGAAGCGTTGTCAAACACTGAATACCTGTGACATCATCATTGGTGAAACCGACGTGATCTGGTACACCTAATTGCAACTGTGAGTCTGTTCCTTTTTGGGATTTTTATTTATCATTGCCTTATTTTTTTAACTTTTTTAAACATTGTGATTTTTTTTCGTGTTTTTTCCTGGATATATATATTTTCCCCTTGTTCATTATCGTACTTCATACTTCATCATGACTGAACAGACACCTAAAGTACTCAAGCTTAAGACTTTGTCCCCGCCTTCGTTTCAACTGATGCCTTTCTGGCCCGACAACATCGAAGCCTGGTTTTGCTACGCAGAAGCCGACTTCTCCGAGCACGGCGTGATCGACACACGTGCACAATTCCTCGCAGTAGTCAAGGCACTACCGCGCGAATTCAACAGGTACGTAACACCTAGTATGTTTACTAGTGATGTTTCCGATCCTTACGAAATCTTAAAACGCTCGATTCTCAAACGAGGAGACCTAACCGATCGACAAAGGTTAGATCAACTCTTCAACAATATCGACCTGCAACACGGTTCTGCGACAGACATGTTGCAACGGATGAGAGAGGTAATAGGCCCAAGAACTTTCGACGAAGGCCTATTCAAACAACTCTTCTTGTCAAAACTTCCCCAACAGGTGCAAGCAGTTCTGGTCTCGTTCCAGAACAACGCCTTAGACGAGCTAGCTGCATCTGCCGACCGCATTTAGAAATTACGAAACCTACTACCGAGGTATTTTCAGTCAAAGAAAAACCTCAAACGACTCAGAATGATATAAACGACTTATGTCACACACTCACGCGTTATCTTAGTCTTCGTACCGACCGTGAGAGATCGCGCACACCACGTAGAAGCATTTCTCGTAAGCGATCTGTCTCTAGACCACGAGAGACAGATAACCCCGACTGGTGCTGGTATCATAACCAGTATGGAAAGCTTTCCAGAAATTGCAGAAAACCCTGCAATTTTCCCAACACGAAACCGACTGATTCGAAAAGCAATTCGGGAAACTTCCAAGCCGGCACGCGTTAACGGCAACCGTAGCCGGCGAACATAGCCGTCTGTTATTCGTCACAGATGTGACAACGAGAGTTCGTTACCTCGTCGACACTGGCGCAGAAGTTAGCGTTCTCCCAGCAAATCCTAACGACCGGCTTCAGGAATCGGCTTTTAACTTACAGGCGGCAAACGGAAAACCGATCGCTACGTATGGCAAAAGGTACGTTTACCTTAACGTGGGTTTACGCAAACCCATCCACTGGATTTTCGTTGTTGCAGATGTTTCTATGCCAATCATTGGTATGGACCTTCTACAACACCACAATCTAATCATCGACACGCGCAAACGGAGGCTAGTAGACGGAAACACTAATTTGTCCGTTTGCGTAACTTCTTTTACTGGTTGTAGAGTATCCCCAGTCACAGTTAAACATATGATAGACCCACTCTATCAACCACTACTCGATAAGTACCCTGGGATACAACAAACTCAACCGAAACTACCGTGTGTAACCAGCAATGTTACACATCACATCACGACTACAGGACCACCTGTATTCTCTAAAGCACGACGACTAGCTCCTGAAAAGCTAAGGTTAGCGAAAAACGAATTCGATCACATGATGGACTTAGGAATCATACGACCGTCAAGTAGCCCATATGCATCTCCGTTGCACATGGTCCCTAAAAAGGACAGCAACGATTGGCGTCCAACTGGTGACTATCGGCGATTGAACGCGAAAACCATTCCCGATCGTTACCCGTTGCCTCACATTCACGATTTGACAGCTACCTTGAAAGGTACAACTGTCTTTTCGAAAATCGACTTGGTTAAAGCGTATAACCAAATCCCTATGGCTACTGGCGACATACCGAAAACAGCTATCATAACTCCTTTCGGACTCTATGAATTTTTGCGAATGCCTTTCGGTCTAAGGAATGCTGCTCAAACATTCCAAAGATTCATAGACGACGTTTTTCGAGGTCTCAACTTCGTACACGCGTATGTTGACGACTGTCTAATCGCAAGTCCGGACAGAGAAACACATCTCAAGCATCTGGATCTTGTTTTCGAACGACTTCAAAAACATGGCATAACTGTAAACGTTCAGAAATGCCAATTCGGAACCGACTCGTTAGACTTCCTAGGACACACTATCGATGCTCAAGGCATTCGACCTCTTAGGACCAAAGTGGCGGCCATTCTGGATTACCCAGAACCGACCACCGTCAAGCAATTACGCACGTTTAACGGCCTGGTAAGTTTCTATAGACGTTTCATACCGAAATGCGCATTACTTATGAAACCTCTGACCGACCAACTTCGTGGAAATGCGAAATCCATTAATTTGGACGACACCGCACGAAAAGCATTCTCCACAGTTAAGGAACTGATTGCTAAAGCAACGATGCTCGCACATCAGGACACCCGAGCACCCATTAGCATCGCAGTAGACGCATCCGACTCGGCAATCGGAGGAGTCTTACAACAATGGGTTAACAACTCCTGGCAACCCTTGGCATTTTTCTCAAGAAGGTTGCTAGACACCGAATCGAGGTACAGCACATTCGGTAGGGAACTCCTAGCTATGTATTGTGCTGTACGGCATTTCCAACACTACATCGAAGGTCGTGAATTCACTCTTTTCACGGACCATAAACCGCTCACTTTCTCGTTAAGCTCTCCTTCAGACAAGTACTCTCCCCGTGAGTCTCGACAACTGGACTACATTTCGCAGTTTACTTCAGATATTCAACACATCTCTGGAGCAAACAATGTAGTTGCAGACGCTTTATCTCGCATAACTTCCTTGAACAGTTTCCAAGGAATCGACCTTCTTAAACTCGCCGAGCTTCAAAAAGAAGACAGTGATCTTCAGCACGAGTTATCGTCCACAACACTTAAACTACGCATCAAACAGATGGGAACAGGTAAGGAAACCTTACTTTGTGACACATCTACAGGTAGGGATCGCCCAATCGTGCCGAAACATTATCGACGCAATGTCTTCAATACATTGCACAAACTTTCGCATCCAGGTGTTCGTGCAACCATCAAGCTTATAGCAGAAAGGTTTTGCTGGCCTGGAATGAATAAAGACGTGAGGGAGTGGGCACGCTCCTGTGTAAGCTGCCAAAAATCTAAGGTTATCAGACACAATAAATGTCCCTTAGGCTCGTTTAAAACTCCCGATGCTCGTTTCGACCATGTTCATCTGGATTTGGTAGGACCTTTACCGGATTCAAATGGATACTCTTATCTCTTAACCTGCGTAGACCGTTTCACTCGATGGCCAGAAGCAGTACCTATCAAGGACATCACTGCTGAAACAGTGGCTCGCACCTTCGTCGAACGATGGGTAGCAAACTTCGGCTGCCCTTCAACCATTACTACAGACCGCGGACGTCAGTTTGAATCCGATCTTTTCCGTCGTCTGACCACGCTTTTAGGAATCACTCGCTTCCGAACGACCGCCTACCATCCACAAGCAAACGGGTTGGTAGAACGTTTTCACCGACAACTGAAAGCTTCGCTATCAGCTACAAACGTTTCACAGTGGACCGACGCTCTTCCACTCGTCTTACTAGGTATCCGCAATGCAGTGAAAGCTGACATTGGATACACTGCGTCTCAACTCGTTTATGGTACGACACTTCGACTTCCAGGAGAATTCGTGGATCCTTCATCCTCTTCAATGAACATGGATCTAACCTCCTACACGAACAGGCTTACAAACGCAATGCGTTCAGTTAAACCTGCTTCCACTCGACCTCAATCAACTGATGTTTTCGTTCAACCTGACTTACGATATAGTACACACGTTTTCGTTCGTCGAGACTCGCATCGACGACCCTTCGAATCAGCATACGAAGGACCCTTCAAAGTTCTTCAACGTGAATCTAAGTACTATATAGTCGATAAGAACGGAACCAACGATAGCATCAGTATCGATCGCTTAAAAGCAGCGTATTTAGAAGGAAATCCTATCTACGTGGATTTTCCTTCGGTACAATCGAACGACACGACTCCGACACTTATAATACCTCATCCGACAACCAACACACACGATGATACTTCGACAGTATCCGAAAATAAACTTAAAACGACGCGTTCTGGAAGAAGGGTGAGATTTCCAGAACATCTAAACGACTATTGCACGTAAGGCACTTCTCGACATTTTATATTATTTTTAAAAAAAAAAACAATTTTAATATGCTTATATATTTTTATTTCTATTTAAAAAAAAACAAAACAAAAAAACAATTTTTTTAACGCTATTACGTGTTCATGAGTTTATTTTCCTTTTTTTTTTCCGCCGACATTGTGCTTTTACGCACATACGAGTGTATTTCGACATGCACTTACATTTTCTTTTTTCTTTTCCAGGACGGCTGGAAAAGAACGATGACGTTTATGAGGATCCGAAATTTTCTATGTACATTTTCTTTTTTTACTATGTTGTACCTCCGTCCCATATAGTAAGGAAAGACGACCAGACGCTGCTAAATTTAGTAAGCTATCAGAAGAGTGTTTACCAACGACAAACTCGTTGGGTTTAAACTTCTGGCTGGCCACGTCTTAGGGTCGTCACTGCCCCACTAGGGGGGGAGTGATCTGTAGCGGTAAATAAATCCCCAAAATAAATAGCACTAAGTTTTCGACATTGGATGCTGACCATATGTTTTAGTGGACTCACCTAGCTGAAGGCGCTCGGTCAGTCATCCGCACCAGATCACGTGTGGTAACGCCGTGCTCAACATCAACCGCAATCGCTAGCCAGATTAGATCAGAGAATTCCGATATATTGGTCATCGCCAAATATACTCTTCCGATCTCCTCGACTCTGTCTTTTGATTTCTCTGGGCGGGAACGAAATATATTAGAAGGTGTTACTGGTAGAAGCGTTGTCAAACACTGAATACCTGTGACATCATCACTATTGTTTCCTTAAAATATAAATGAAGATCTTCACTTGTCTTATGATTCATCCACATGTCTTTCAAGACGCGTTATATGACTTGCAAATGAATAACAATATAAGCAGATTAACGAACTACTTAACTAAATAAAAATGATTTATGTGATCAACTTCACGGCCAAACAAAAACTTACATCCTTTTCTCGATCTCAGCTTGCCATGTTTCAAAAAAATTGATATGAAAATTCTTACCAGACATTACAGTTATCTAGTTTAAATATATGTAAATGTATTTGAGATGCTACTGTTAAAAAAGTTTGATAGATGGACATATTTTGTGATATACTTTTCATCATATAAGCTCAGTTGTTGAGTGTATCAAAATGATATCAAATTATTTAACAAATCTTATCTGTAAATCTGTTGTTTATGTTTGTCTTTTTTCAGATTGTTAGAAAACACCCATCTGAATCTGATATCTACAGCCTCAAAAGTTGAAGACAGATACTGGTCACTTTAGAAGCTTTCTCCCTCAACTTCAAATAATTGAAATTTTTAACCCATATGTTATCAATATCTAAATTCATAATTATTTTAATATAATATTACTGACTATTCACGAGTAAAATCACACTTTACGTCATTATGAAGAAAGTAATTGAGTTTAATTAGTGTACCTAGTTTTGCGTTCTCTGAGTAATGATTTCTTAGATTTTTACCAAATAATTTATTCCCCGTAACGTTATGACTACAACCGACAACTAAGATGATGAGATTCACAGTAAGGATCTAAAAATCGATTTTTATTATTCAACACATAGTGTTCACATACTTAAAAAGTTAGATTATTATTTAATTTTAGATGAATATTGCTTCGTCTTTGTACTACACAACGAAAATTTGGCACGGTAACTTTTGTCAATGTACATATACGCTGGGATCTATGTTCTTTATTTTTCTAATTTACCTTTGATAAGTTCATATAATGGTTTACAAACATGGTACGACTTTAACCAAGGCTACATACTTCACCATAATAGCGGATAAAACTTTTACGATATAGGACCACATGGAAATGATTGGTAAGAAAACTGGAATCCCATCAATTTTCGTTACATTCAGGCAAAAATTATTGATTATTTTGATATTCACGGACAATACCAACATCTACCATTCGTGGAAAACTATCTTCACCTTAGATTGCTGGTTACTCAATTAAGTGAGAGCGTAGACAGTAGTGAATATTTAAAAATGGAAATGTCTAAGTACTGAGGGGATAAAGCTTTATTTTGATGGAGTTTCGCTTCCTGAGCTTAGTGGTTTAATCTTAAAACTTTCATCGTCCTTCGAAACAATATCACCAACACAAACTTTAAATCAAAGTTACTTATCCGAATTTCGCCACAAATGACTTGGATCCTATTCTTTCCGCCTTGATTTTATTAAGGCAATAAAAGTCTCACAAATACACCATCTCGCTCAGAAAAAGAAACCACTAAAAATGGGTTTTTGCAGAAGAACTTTCAGTACTTAGACAACTTTATATCTGAAAACCCACAAAAGTCATCCACTTGGGCTGTATATCATTGTCATTTAACTTGTGTAAATAAACTACTTCAAAATACTGACTGTACTATAAGTATTCTTAAAATCGTTAGTTATAAAGTCAGAAGATTAGTTGAGAATTTCGCCCTGTGCTGTAGAAAACATTTCTGAAAAAATGTTGACGTAAATTTTTATTGGGAAGAAAAAAGAACTACTTGGAGAAAGGTTTTTTTCCTGACATCGTTTCATCAGTCAACAAATTTTATTACTTACTGACAAGCAACAGATGTTACTTGAAAAGCTAAGTTAGTCATAAGTGGTTTAACTATTATCCTTATCAAAAATTTGAATTTATTTTATTCCAGTACAAAATATTTAACGAAGTTAACCAATCAAATGCACATTATGTATTCTAGTATTATTGTCTTTTAAAACTTTGCAGTGAGCCTGATAATTTTATTTTTTAAAACAAATATAGTAAACATTAATCCAGTAAGTTGAGCCATTGAAAACCTTTCTGTTTGATTGATGGATGGTTTTTGTGCTTCAAGCCATCTGTCTAAAATCTGTACCCACTGAGAGGCTTGTTTTCTGTCGAAAATTTGATCATCATCATCAAAAGATTTTAAAAGATTCACGGAGAGCCATATTATATGGGCACACTTGCTTACTTGGAGAAACAGCATTTTTCCATGATTCGAAGCTAATGTCTGAAAATTTTCACACAGTTTTTTTAATACATCATCTAAGAACTCAGTGGTAAATTGGGCAATACTAGTACGATATAGTGTGTTTAGATGCGCTTTAAAAGAACTGGAAAGGATCAAATTTAACTCAAGTGTTGTTGAATCCCAAAGACTATCTGTTTCTGCAGAGAAATCCTTGGAAACAACAAATTTTCTTAAAAGATCAAGACATTGAATCAGACTCTCTGGGTTTTCGTTTAGCAGCTCCATTGTTTTGTTAATCCATAAACGAAATGTAAACTCTGCATCTTGTTTCATACTAAGGAAGGTATTCAGTTTCCTTGAAGAAACCAATCCTTTCTCACAATTTGCTTTAAAAGCATGAAAAAGGATATTGTAAGATGAGGATAAAATTTCTTGTAAATAATATTTCAACTGATTAGCTGTTTGATTTGTAAAAAACATCATTATATTCTGCAGATTGAATTTGGTCATCTTTAGCTGACTTAAACTAAAAGCTGTATAGGTGCTGAGGTCTGCAAAACAAATAAAGTAAAAGTGTACTGTTAGAAAACTAAAATATCACCTGTTGTTTTAGTCCCCATTTTGAAGCTGATTTCGCAATTTGAATTGTGGTCACTTGGCTGCTTTTCATTTAAGAAATAATAATTAATAAGTGCTTCTTTTTCGTCCTCCCTTCTCATATACTGATTCTGAAGAAATCTGACAAAATCGTAGCTTGAAATACTTGGTGGCGTCTGTTTGACAAGATAGACTGCTACTGACACTTTTGCAACCACTAATGAAATATTTGCCAAGAATCTGCTATAAGTTTCGTTTTTTTGCGGAATTATCATCTGCAACGCTAAATGTTGCGTGAAATAATATAAGTTAATAAACGATCATCACTGTTAATTCAAAACATATCGCATTACGTAGGTTATTTTCTTTAAAAAACATCATTTATAGTTACTGATTTCAATGGTATTTTTATGTGTTTGTACATTTCAGTGTATTTCGCAGTTTTTATTTTAAGACTTGGACCTGAATTGACGGACATTACGACAAATGTTATGATTCGTTTGAGATGTATCCGAAGAGGGATTTCATTTTAGGCGTTCTTAGCAACATCTATGCGATAATATGACTTGTACTTCCAGACACTGCATCAGTATCACCCAAATATAACCATACTCGAAGAATACCTAAGGTAAACTTTTCCATAATAAGGTGTGTACAGTGTTCTTTAAAATAATTAGTCTAATATCAGTTGCGTTATAGATATGACTACTACAACCAGATACATCTACAGATAAGTAATGCATGATATGATCTGACTTGAATACAAATTGTTTTCACTACAAGCACACAAAAGTAAAGTGTTCTCTGAAGATGAAATTTAATACTGTCATAGAACTGGGAAAATATAAGTCAAATAGCGGTAAAAGTAATAAAATATACAAAACCTAATCATCAAAAGTGACTTCGGGTTCCTGGCAAACTCTGGTATTTAGTGGAAAATATTTCTGCAACACCGAAGAAACTGGCGCTCTAAAAAGATTTGAGACCCAACCACTCAAGACAATCTTGGTCTTTGTGTGATTATACACTTCATTAGGTATTTTAATTTTTTAATTAAGGGACCATGTGAAATATCGAAATTTGTTGCTGTAGTAAAAATTTGATAGACACGACTCGTCTAACAGTGATATCTAGACTTTATAATTTTGATTTCCCCTCTGTAGCCGACAAGTACACGAAAGAATGAATGCTGTACAGCGGCAGTACCTAAATTTCTGCTCATGAAACTGATGTTTGGTTCGGCATATTAAAACTTGTTATTACTTATCGAGAGCCAAAAATATTAAAACTGGACTCTTTCAGAAACTTTACTATCAATGAAATTTGAAATAAAATTAGTCTAAACCAATGCAAAAGGTGTAAAGAGTTCAAATTGTTTTAATCCGTATTCGTCACCATTCCTATTTCATCGGATAAACACGAGACCTTGTGACATATCTTCACTTTCTTGACGACCAAAAATGGCCGTCAGGCGGTTTCAGTACAACCAAACATTTAAAAGATAGATATCGTAGATTAAATTATCAAGGAATTAATCCTGGTAATATCTGAAAGGTTTAAAAACATATATAGCGGAATATGTCATGCACTGGGTTCCCCTTATAAGTTTAAATAAAGCCAGAACAACAATTGAGGCAAGATTGTACGAACTCACTATATTTCGTGGTTCGTCATCAGCTTGCAATCGTATGCGTATTAAAGTATTAATCTAGTTTAGTTCACCAACAAGCTCACTTGCTTCACACCGTATCATACCTCAGTGTTACATCGTAAAACGTATATGGCAGTAAGCAGCTGACAAAAAAACACTAAATACAATGAATTCACGTTATTCTACTTCAGTTGTTGTTCCAGATTTACTGAACTTGTAATGGAATAATTCGCTGTTGTTTCTACACTCCAACACTTCGAGACCAATCAGTTACTCTCAGAAATTATAGCTTTTTAATCGTACTAAAACAAAGACAACAAACGTGGTTCAGATAACAAAGAGACGAACATAAATGAGGTAAAGTGGCTTCAAAGCTAGTTTGAACTTTCAGTATGAAAGTTTGGTGAAGATTATGAAAGGCTAGTAAAAAACAATTTTGATGATTAAGGTCCTTACTTACATTGGAAATCTTTAGATAAAATACAACCTTGATACCTGTATTTAAACACTGACGCAACAAAACTCATGTGAAAAATGAGTTATTTACAATTTACATTAGCAATGGTAATATATTAGCGAATATATATTCATTATTACATCAGAATATGCATCATATAATCCCAACTATGTACGCTGACTTATGGAAACATTTTGATGAAATTAATGTGTAGTGACCGCTATTTTCTGAATGAGTTTTACATATAATAATTGTCTCGTTTTGCTTGACTGATGAAGTGAAATCCTTAAACCGGATACTGAATGCACTCAGAGAACCCAATGAAACCGAAAGATGTTAATTTGAATTAGCTAATCTCCAGAACAAGATATTGATATGTCTACAAAGTTCACCAAACTTTTGTTCTGAGTTACAAGAAAATCAAAAAGTAGACAATTTTGCGCTTTGATTTTCACGGCGACTCACACAATCCATGATATACACAATTGGTACTTTACCTGCAATCGTACCTAGTTTCCCAATTTTGTGGAAGTCCCCAAAGTCAAATGGCCCTCCACAAAGTTTGGAGAAATTTTGA